TGGGTATGGCGGGGAGTCGAACCTAAGACTTTCAGGTCCCAAGCCGGCTGCTCTACCACTACACCACAGCCGCCCCTTAGTGGATTAGCATTAGCGGAGCTACAATTCTTATTTAGTAGATTAGCATTAGCGGAGCTAAAACTCTTATTTAGTGGATTAGCGTTAGCAGGGCTAAAACTCTTATTTAGTGGATTAGGATTAGCAGAGCTAAAACTCTTATTTACTGGATTAGGATTAGCGGAGCTTAGATTCATATTTAGTGGATTAGCATTAGCGGAGCTACAATTCTTATTTAGTGGATTAGCATTAGCGGAGCTACAATTCTTATTTAGTGGATTAGCGTTAGCAGACCTAAAACTCTTATTTAGTGGATTTGTGATTAATGAAACTAATAGTAAACTAAACTAAGAGTTTTTAGTTAAATGAGTTTCAACAACACCTAATTTCCCTCTGGGATCAATAAAGTATTTTTGAATTGAATTGAATTGAATTGAATTGAATTGAATTGAATTAGCATTAGCGGAGCTAAGATTTTTATTTAGTAGATTAGTTATTAGTGAAACTAATTTTATGGTTAGCTGTGGTGATTTCATAATTTAAAACACCTCTAAGCTTGTGCCACCATCTGGTGGCATAATTGAGTGATGGCACCGAAATATAATTGACTAATTAGCATCTTAGCCTTTAGCATCTGTTCAGTAAAACTTAAAGACGTTTGTGAACAAATGTTGGACAAAGTGAATCCAAACATTAGTAATTTATAAATATTGTGTTAGTATTAAGCCTAAAGGAAATCAGTCAAAACGTGCCAAACGGACTACCTAAAATACTTCATCTGATCTAAATTTGTCGTTTTATTTAGATCTCTTTGACAAACATCACCTCTGATAAAGAACTTCATTATAAAATACTAAACAGAAGTATTTTAACTTTATTACAGCGAAGTTCTTTGACACAGAAGCATAAAATATCAGCTTCTTTCTACAYAGTCGACACTTGGGAGAATAAATTGGGATCTTTGGGATTTAAAGTGCACTCCTTTTGGTTTTTAATGAAGACCTTCATCACAGCAGCGAGATGAACCATCAGACACTAAGAGCTTTGACAGAAAGAAGAGCTCCGCTTCACTTTCCTTACCGACTTTCTGTCTGGAAACACGAATGGAGGCCGACTAAGAAAGGATTTGTGGACGCCTGCTCGAACACGTGCTTCTCCGTCTGCACCCAGTCGATATCCTGCAGGGCGGGGGGGACAGGAACAGAGAGATGAGTACGATCAATCTGTCTGATCAGTRGGGTTTCCTCAGACACACTCCTCTGATCCGTGCAGCAGATCTTTGAGCTGAGACTGCTGCGTCACAACAAACACAACAAACAACCTTCTGTTAACGACGTGCAGACAGGAAATCATCCTTCTTTTTTAGGTTCACTGAAGCCGTTTCACCTCCAGTCCGAAAGGCTCCGGAGGTGAAACAAATTCAAGAAAAGAAGAAAAAAGAATCCAGTTGTTTTAATGACGTTCAGACAGGAGTAAACCTGACTGCAGTCCCCCTCTATCTCCTGCTTCAATCATGGTTTTACAGCTAAACAACTAAACTTCAACACAAWTATCAAACCTAAATGTGACAAAGTAAGCCAACACAACTCAAAATGCCTCACAGATTACAGACAGAATCATTTATGTCTCTTTTAGAGGTGAAATTAGAGAAAATAGTTTGTTTCTGTTAAGCCAGGAGGCGGAGCTACAACTGCTGACTGAAACCGGAGGGAAAAAACAGGAAGTGACAAATTCAAGTCTTTGAAATCGTGTTTCTGCTAGTTTAGGTCTTATATTTTAACATTATTAACACACAAAAAGTGTATATATATTTTTGTGTCCCAGCTGTCGGTGACTGAAGTGACCCTGCTGCAAAGGATGCTGGGAAAACTCAGCTGTGAGTCAGCAGATCAGGTCTGTATTAAAGAGGAGACTGTAAATGTGGAAATGAGGCGTGTAAAATAAATAATATTGAATAAATTAATGTGATGATGTGAATTTTATGATCCTGGACAGCAGAGAAAATATTAACAAATTTAATTTTGGAGTAAAATCCATTTAATACATCATAAAATTAATGCAAATGCTAAATGCTAAGTTCCTCCAAGACTGGTCTCAGTTCCTCCAGGACTGGTCTCAGGTCCTCCAGGACTGGTCTCAGGTCCTCCAGGACTGGTCTCTTCAGGTCCTCCAGGACTGGTCTCAGGTCCTCCAGGACTGATCTCAGGTCCTCCAGGACTGGTCTCTTCAGTTCCTCCAGGACTGGTCTCTTTAGTTCCTCCAGGACTGGTCTCTTCAGTTCCTCCAGGACTGATCTCAGGTCCTCCAGGACTGGTCTCTTTAGTTCCTCCAGGACTGGTCTCTTCAGTTCCTCCAGGACTGATCTCAGGTCCTCCAGGACAGATCTCAGGTCCTCCAGGACATATCTCAGGTCCTCCAGGACTGGTCTCTTCAGTTCCTCCAGGACTGATCTCAGGTCCTCCAGGACTGGTCTCTTTAGTTCCTCCAGGACTGGTCTCTTCAGTTCCTCCAGGACTGATCTCAGGTCCTCCAGGACAGATCTCAGGTCCTCCAGGACATATCTCAGGTCCTCCAGGACTGGTCTCTTCAGTTCCTCCAGGACTGATCTCAGGTCCTCCAGGACTGGTCTCTTTAGTTCCTCCAGGACTGGTCTCTTTAGTTCCTCCAGGACTGGCCTGCTCAGGTCCTCCAGGACTGATCTCAGTTCCTCCAGGACTGGTCTCCTCAGGACTGGTCTCAGGTCCTCCAGGACTGGTCTGTTCATCCAGGACTGGTCTCAGGTCCTCCAGGACTGGTCTCCTCAGGACTGGTCTCAGGTCCTCCAGGACTGATCTCAGTTCCTCCAGGACTGGTCTCAGGTCCTCCAGGACTGGTCTCAGGTCCTCCAGGACTGGTGTCTTTAGTCCACAGAGGGGGAATCATGGACCTGGAGGAACCTTTATCTGAACACCATGGAAGCTCCATCCTCTCCCTGAAGTCTGAAGTCCTTCACAATAAAAGCGCAGTGTTCAAACTAAAAATAAAAGCAGACGTTCTCGTCACACGGGGCGCTCTGTGTGGAACATGAGGCAGATCATAGCTGTGTTTTTAATCAGCTGCTCTTCAGAAACAAAGAGCTGAGGCTGTTTACAGCTGATTTAAAGAGTCATTAAGTGGATGATGGTTAATGTTTTATACGTTCTACAATAAACCGGTTTGAACTTCCCACGCTGCGCTGCCATACGCTTCATACCTAATTCATAACGCAGACCACATGCTGGCAGCAACATAACACATTCCTTCTGGTCCACCAGAAGAATTGATCATGATGCAGAATCATAAAGCAGCTCGTGTTGTTTGTTTCAGCAGCTTTACTTGTTTTAATTGATTTAACTAAATGTTGAGAAAAAGGATTGAACTAATGAACAGATCAAGGAACAAACAGATGTTTAATCACAACACTGGACTTCATTTCAGCTCTTTTTGTTGGGCTGAAACTAAAACTTTAGTGGAGTTGATTTCTGCAGAGAGTTTTTAAAGAATCTGTTGAACAACAGCGCCCTCTGCTGGATTTTATGTGACCCAACAGCAGCCAGAAGGCTCAGGATAATAACACACACATATACAT